TTCTGTAATATATATGAGCAATATCACTCTCGTACTCGAGCGATACCAGCTCTATATCAGCGGCTGTGATTAGGCCAGAGGCTCACCGTGTGATGAGTATAGCGACATCATGGTGTGCAGGATGAGTGTCACTTTGAGGATTGAGGTTTTTTTGCCAGGTACAGAAGCTGTTGAGAGTCGTATCAGCGTGGTGAATGATCTTCAGCCCTTTCTGAAAACACATAAAAGTAGTAGTAAAGTAAAAGTAGTAATAATATCCAGTAACCCTACTAAAAAATAAAAAACGGCATATGTTGTGTTTTGTGCATATGTTAACAAGCAAAACCAGCAAGGTGTCCATGTTTAACCAGCACTAACCAGCACAGATCATTTTGGACCCCCTGGAAACTCACGATGGTCTAAGACAATCTGTTCAGCTAGGAAGGACTGGATGTAAAGCAAATTATGCCTTGATTCATATGTACCTCCTCTCCGTGTAGCAGAATGAGCCGGACCAGTATAATATGGATAGCATTACCGATGCTGGCATCGTGAAAAATTCCAGCCACCTACAAAAAAAAAAGTGATACAAAAGATTTATATATGAAAGTCAGAGATACAATTTATTGAAGTTTATCAAGCTGGTCTTTTCTATACAATGAAAGTCATATGTTGTGTTCAAGTCATGTCGGAATGACGTATTTACGAGTTACGCACATAAACACCATCACAAAGTCGTAATTGCGAGTGGGAAACTATGAACGTTTGGTACCACTTTATTTTGATGGTCTTCTTTAGACATTCTTTTGATTATAAGTAACTTTGCAAGAGCATGTCAACTTATTCTACTAACTCTAACCCTAACTTAACAGTCCACTAATACTCTACTAATACTCTAATAAGAGTTAGGGCCAGATGCACCAGCGCAAACCCTCTTCTGCCATTAAAAAATGTCAGGATTTACTAAAGACATGCAATTAAACAATAGTGATGAAAAGGCATGGACATAGTTATTTTTGCAGCTGACCTTATTGCATATGTATTTGTAGTAGTTTCCTTTTCAGACGCAAGTATTTAAATGAATCATGCAAGATGATTTACTAAGGTTTGCAGTGGTCAGTTTTCTGGTATTTGCACCCTTATTTAACACCCCCAAAAAGCATTTCTTAACCCAATTTGCACCTGTGTTGCTAGTGGATCACATGCACCAGATTATCATCGACTTTGCTTGTCTGCGACCCTACGCTAATTTGTGCTGCTCTTGGTAGGTTGTGTTGGTCATTATGGAAATGATCCGGCTGCATCTGTGTTCTTTCATTTGCACGCTGTCAGTAAATCACCCGCAAAACTTCCAGTCCCGTCTGCGATTTTATGGGATTTTGCTCTCACGCTAATTTGCCCTGTTTAGTACATCTGGCTTTTGGTTGACGTTTATTTGCAAAGTTACTTATAGCCAACAAGGGGACCATCAAAATAAAGTGTAAGTGAACTTTCTTTAAGATGTGAGTTTCCAAGTTGGGGGTGTCTGTGAAAAATATGACGTGTGCATTAGATGCAGCATCTGTATTGACATCTAAATTGCATCTACAAAATATGATAGTATTGTACAATTACAATGCATAACAATTCAATTTATAGCACCTTCATAAATTGAACAACATAAAAAAGCAAAAAGACCCTAATGCACATTCTTTATTCATCATTCTGTAGAAGTTAAAAAATCTTGCTTAATATTATGCATTGCCATCACTGACCAAAGTGACTTGAATGCACCTGACATCGTAATTACGACTTACCAACTTGTAAATATGAACTTTCCAGAAGTACTTGAACACACTTACCATGTTCATGATGGTAAAGATGTAGGACTCAACGTTTCCACTTCCGTGGTAGTCCACAAGTTTGGAGTCGCCCACCACCATGGTCTCCACCCAACGCTCTTTGCTGATGGAGCGAGGGGAGATCCTCCGTGGTCGTTCCCACTCTCGATGCGGATCGTGATTACGATCCCCACCCTGCTGGCGCTGCTCCTGCTCCCAGCGCTGTCTCTCCTGCTCCACCTGCTGGGAAAACTCAGAACCATCTGCACCGGAGACACACACACACAAATGAGGTCCCCAAAGTAATTTTTTTTTTGGTGAAGTATCATTTTATTATGATTTTTAGACATCTAACATATCTGACCTTTGACCCCACAGGGACTATGATGAATGCTGTGTGCATCAGTGCTACGTCGCTGCCTGATTGCACTCCAGGCTGGACTCCGGTAGATCACATGTGGGTGTCGTGGATGAGTGGCGTTTGGGGTGTGGCCACGGACCGGCTCAATCAATAACGGCCCCTGCGGTAAATTTAACAACCCTCTCTATAAGAAAAGAAACAAGTGAGTTTAAAAGTTTGAGGGCAAACCGAAAGAAATTAATACTTTTATTCAGCAAGGATGCAATAAATTAATCAAAAGGGACATTAAAGACATATATAATGTTACAAAATATTTATATTTTAAATAAATGCTGTTCTTTTGTACTTTCTATTTATCAAACAATCCTGAAAAAATGTGTCACGGTTTTCACAAAAATATTATGCAGCATGACATATAAGAAACGTTTATTTAGCAGCAAATTCAGCTTTGCATCACAGGAATAAATTACATTTTAAAATATATTCAAATAGAAAATGGTTATTTTAAATTATAATAATATTTCACAATATTACTGTTTTTGCAGCATTTTTGATCAAATAAAGGCAGCTTTTGAGTATAACTCTAGTGTGTGTGTGTGTGTGTGTGTATATATATATATATATATATGTCTGTGTGTTTTAGATTCAGATTCAGATTTATTCTTTATGGTCCTTGATATTGGAAATTTGTTTTCACAGACTGTACCAGAAGCAACATTCAGCACACATAAAACACACATACTGCACACATATATACATACATATTACTCAGAGGTGGCAGCAGCATCAAACACAGTGTAAATTTTAAATTACACATATTGTGAATTTAATGCTCTTACAGCTGAGGGCACAAAACTCTTCCCAAGGCGTGCTTTTTTGTGAGGTAAGTGTCTGAATCTGCGGCCTGAAGGGAGAAGGGTAAAGCACGAATGGAGAGGGTGGCTAGGATTTTGTATTATGATATTTGTTCTGCGAGTGATTGCAGTGTCAACGAGGTTTGACAAGCTGGGAGTTGGAAGACCAATTATTTTTGAGGACGTGTTAGTGATTTTAAGGAGCTTGTTTTTTATTGGTGAGAGAGAGCATAGTGAAAAGAGGTGGCACATGAAGCTGATGAAGTTTGGTTATCATGGTGTGATGCTGAATCGTACTGAAGGCAGAGCTGAAGTCTAAAAAAGAATCCTGGCATAATAGCCAGGAGAGTCCAGGAGAGCATCCTCTGTTCCTCTTTTAGCCTTGTAGGCAAACTGGTAAGGATCCGGCTGTGGGGAGATGACCAGGAGGATGATGTTCAGTACCAGTTTCTCAAGGCATTTTGCTATTATGGAGGTAAGTGCTGCCGGTCTGTAATGATTCAACTCAGAAGGGCCGAGTTTCTTAGGGACAGGAATGATGGTTGCTGTTTTCCAGAGGGTGGGGAGATTTGTTGTCTGTAATGACTCATTGAAGAGTGAATGGAGAACAGGAGAGAGCTCCATGGCACAGTTCTTGAGCAGCCTTCCAGTGATCCCATCTGGCCCAGGGGCCTTGCCAGTATTGCACCTCCTAAGCTGATGATAGACGTCTCCCACCATGAGGAGAACAAAATGTGGCTGCTCAGGGGTGGGTAGGCTCCTGAGCAATCTTTCACACTCAGAAGTGCAGTTCAAAGTATCAAACCTGGCGTAAAAGTTGTTCAGGTTTGTAAGTTTCTCTCACTCAGTTTAAGTCTATCGAATTTTTCGCCTATTTTATCATCCCCCAGTTGAAAATGGCACGTCCAACAGCTTATAAAAATTACAACCCAAATCTTCAACAAGCCACACGATTTGCAGTATCATTCATGTCTGTAGTCCATTAGTGGTTAATACTTAAGGATTAGGGTTTGTTGAAATCGTTTAAAGTAGTTTGCACTGTAATAACACTTCAGGTGTCAAGGCTCATTATTTAAATCTGTTGGAATTCCAGTGAATTCAGGGAAGGTAATTTTCCTGTCATAATCCCTGTTAATTAATCTTCCCTGCAAGTGCTTGCCAGTCCTGGCATTTTCTCCACACTGCAGGGTCTTTAGCAAGTTTATCAGTGTGCCTGAACATGTCACATGCACAGGCTAAAACACAAAACAAATACATTATAATGAATTCAATGCATCTGTGAAATGTCAAACATCCATGCAGCTTGAAATGCAAGTATTACACTTTTTATTTTTACTGGCATCTATAGCTCCATGAAGAATCTTTAACAACCATGGAATCTTTCCATTCCACAAAAGGTTCTACAGTATACGAAAACGGTTATTTCCATTTTTAAAATGTTCTTAGATGGTTCCCCAAATTTTGAAAGTCTCTTATGCTCACCAAGGCTGCATTTTTTGTGTGCTCAAAAATACAGTAAAACAGTTATATTATCACAATTTCAAGTAACTGTTTTCTATTTGAATATATTTTAAAATGTAATTCCTGTGATGCAAAGCTGAATTTTCAGAATATTCATTGATGAACAGAGTTCAAAAGAACAGCATTTATTTGAAATTTTATTGAAGAAATCTTTTGTAATGTTATACATGTCTTTACTGTCATGATCAGTTGATTGAACATTTGATCAATTTAAATTCAATCCTATAGCATCATTGTTATTTCTTTAAGGTTAGGGTTTTGAACAAACGTATGTTTAACCCATGTGTTAGCCTCACATTTTAAGGGTCAAATAAGGTTGCACATTCACTCTTTACAGTCTTCTTAAAGTGTGTGTCCATATGTCTTGGACTCTGAACGCTTCAACCCATGAGATTTCATCTGGCAACTGAAACATCTCTGAAATCTGCCATTTTTCTCTTATCGCCATGTTTTCTTGGAGATGCAGTGAAATCCCAGCTTTACGGGAATGAGAATGACTCTCATGATGCACTTCATGCACTCGTTCACCGCCCTGTAAAATGAATCAGTCCCACAGGCCAAAAACAGGTGTGTATGTGTGTGTGTGTGTGTTCAGCACAAACTAAATAAACCGTGACCAGAAAAAAACATTCCAAATGTTTTGAAACTGGGCTGCACATAACACAAAACAGATGCTAGAATTTGTGGAAGGGCAGAGGAATACACCATGAATTCTCCAGGGGGCCAGAGACACCGTCATAATATTGACTCAGCCGAGTCATTTGGCAAATGAAACATCTCTGAAACGTGACATTTTTCTCTTATCACCATGTTTTCTTGGAGATGCAGTGAAATCCCAGCTTTATGGGAATGAGAACAACTCTCATGATGCACTTCATGCACTCGTTCACCGCCCTGCTGAATGAATCAGTCCCACAGGCCAAAAACAGGTGTGTATGTATGTATGTGTGTGTGTTCAGAACAAACTAAATAAACCATGACCAGAAAAAACATTCCAAATGTTTCGAAACTGGGTTGCACGTAACACAAAACAGATACTAGGATTTGTGGAAAGGCAGAGGAATACACCATGAATTCTCCAGGGGGTCAGAGACGCAGTCATAATATTGACTCAGCCAAGTCGATCATCCACAGAGTCTAAACAATACTAACCACTGCAACATGCATGTCTGTGATACACAGCTATGGCATGAGACTCTAACAGCACTCTTACGCATGTCCTCAAAAGAAAGAAAAATCACAAATGAGATCTCTTTGCTTCTCCTAGACATAAATGAAGAGTAAATATTTAAAGGGGTCATATTATGCGATTTCAATTTTTGCTTGTTGTTTGTCATTTCTCCGATCACAAATGCAGACATGGTTTTATGTTTACGCGGCGCGATGCAACGCAACCCATAAAAAGACAGTACTATAAATCATTATAATCCGTAATTATGTCCCCTGGATGCAACAAATGCCTCGTTTGTAATGGGTTTTATTGGTTTTGTCTCGTCGTGCCGGGAGAAGGCATCACAGTATGGTAGGGGCGTAACATTTCCGTCACACGCTTGAGGTATTCGGCCAATCACAACGCACTGGATAGCTGGCCAATCAGAGCACACCTCGCTTTTCAGACCGATGAGCTTTGTAAAAATCGACGTGTTTCAGAAAGGCGGGGCATAGAGGAGAAACAATAATGTACAGTATGTGGAAAATAATGTTTTTTTAACCTTAAACCGCATAAACACATTTCATTACACCAAATACACAAAATACTGTTCTTTTTAGCAACATCATATGACCCCTTTAAGTCTCCTGCTGCACAGATTTTGTTTTTGTGATTTACTTTAAAATAATTTTCAGATTTAAAGGTTTTTCTTAGAGTGAAAATTGTTTCAAAGTAAATTTTTGTTAGAATATTTCATGAATAATTACAAAGAAACCACAAATAACACTAAATTAAATTAAAAGTGAAATTTTAAGTAGAAAGACAGCATTTTCTTGAAAAAAAGTTATGCCAAGGATCTTTGTTTTACATCTTCGAAAAATCGGGGGGTTTTTTACAGTGCAGTAATCTCAAGTGTCTCCTCTAGAGTTTCAGAAGATATCGCAACAATGTCTTAAACTGTGCTCAGATTTGCCAAGATACCAAAGTCTGCCATCAAAATTCAGAGATCAGAATATGAACTCAAACATTTCTCATTGAATACTTTCAAATCCAAACAATCTGACCTGCTATACTATTATTGTATGTCAACAAGTGTCTCGTTTGCCTATTTCTTGTTTCTCCTGACATGCATCTTGAAAGAGGAACAGTTGAATTCTCATATGTCCTAACAAAAAATATTATTTTAAATCTCTCATGCTACAAAAAAGTACCAAGATTTTTGAACATGCATCATGGCAATGCCATGTTTTTGGGCCCATCACCATGATAGTACTATAGTACTCTTTGAAGTACCTTGGATCAACATTGAAATACTATGGTATATGAACTTGAAATCATTAACTATTAAAAGTACCATGGTATTATCATCTGATGCTGTAACTGCACACAAAATACCATGATATATGCATGATCAAATATTACAATTCAGTCAAAATACTAAAAAGTAATTCAAAAGAAATAAAATAAATGTACCATATTAGTACCATGGTATATAAATATTGTAATCATTCAGTTAATATATAACAAAATACTACAAATATTACTTATATTTATATATATATTCTTTTTATATATAAGATGAGATGCCCCATTTTGGTGTCCGTATCAATTAAATTTAAAAGTGTTTTTTATACAGAAGGCATATTAAACGCAAACAAAGTGTCTGTTTTAATGTTTCAAATAACTTTTGTGAAAATAAAATGTTAAAATATGGATGAAAAATGTTCCAATGTTATTCAACGTAACCAATATATTTATATAAAAATCAAACATACTTATTTTGACCTGTATTTATTCAAATATATATATAATAAGTGATTGTATTTAATTTAGTTATATTTTAAATGATAAAAAATACAATTAAACAGGACATTCTAATATACAGAGAAATAAAATTAAAGCTGTAAACGTTTCATCCTTGACCCATATATATATATATATATATATATACATATATATATAAAAATACAATATAATAACTGTCATTTTGCTGCCAAAGTACTTTTTACACAAGCAAAAAATACATTTAATTCATCTCCGTCTTTTGTGGGCCTGTCCTCTCTTTCTCTCTCCTCATCTGCTCCTCACAGCAGAAACGTGAGCTTTGGTGTCAGGGGGCATTATGAAAACAAAAGCTGAACTGCTAAATACAGAAGCCATGTGTGTGTTGGCTTCCCACAGTTCCTGCAGGTTTTGGTAGGACTTCAAACAGGATATATAGGCATTCCATCTTATGTAGGGGACTTCAAACTATAGTATAGCACTTCAAAACCAGCCGTACGCTTTCTGGAGGGCAGGAAGAATGTATGGATCTAATGACTAATGCAGAGTGGGTCAGTGACAGGTAGTTATGGTTATCTGTAACTGCTCTGGTTTGAAACAAAAGTTGAACAGGAAAGGAGTTAACATAGTTCAGTGCTAATGAGGTTTTCACAAGGACCATAAACCAAACAGTAGACAATATTAAAGTTCAGTTTATTGTGCTATGAAATGCACCGCATTACTAAAATACTTTCTCCCATCATAGATTAATGTGTAGAGATGACTATAAGTAAGAGAATACACACAATGGCTCTGCTTTCAAGATCATTGACTGTTTAAATGTTTGCAGTTAGTAAGATATTTTAAAAGAAATTAATACTTTTATTCGGCAAAAATGCATTAAATTGATCAAAAGTGACAGTAAAGACATTTATAATGTTACAAAATATTTTTATTTCAAATGTTGTTCTTTTGAACTTTGTATTTATCAAAAAATTTATCAATTTCTTCAGTTTTTTCGAATGATTTCTGAAGGATCATGTGACACTGAAGACTGGAGTAATGATGCAGAAAATTCAGTTTTGCATCACTGGAATAAATTACATTTTAAAATATATTCAAATAGAAAACAGTTATTTTAAACTGCAGTAATATTTCACAATATTACTGTTTTTACTGTATTTTTGATCAAATAAATGCAGCCTTGGTGAGAATAAGAGACTTCTTTCAAAAACATAAAAAAATCTTACAAACCCTAAACTTTTGAACAGTACTCTTTTGTTTGTTA